CTTGGAAGCAGACAGTTTGTTGAGGAGCGAAGAGAGCGCGAAGGGCGGTAGTCCAGCCTGCAGAGTCAGAAGAGCTTAGGAAAGCGACATCGGAGGCTCTAGGAATCTCTAACAGAATCATTGCGTGAGGCTTCGGGATTTAAGGTCTTTGAGTTTCATGCTTAGGGGTGCGGGATTTGTCTCTCCCTTCCTGAGGGCCCTTTTCCATCTGCCGAGTCAGCGAGCGAAAACCTCATGAGGCGGTTGGTGGTATAGCTATGAAAATCACAAAGTACGCCATGCAAATAAGGAAAGTCTACTTCCTTTGGAATCCGCTGTGACCTTCGCATCCCTATGCAACACTCCTAAACTTAACTTCACCAGCCCTGCCTCCTGTGATTTCCCAGACCGCAACAACCCCGGCCACATCTCAACCGAACCTCGCCTATCCTGATCTACCAGCGATACACGGCAAGCGCACCTTCACTGGCGTCGCACCTGGTGGACATGCACGATTGAAGACAAGAGTGGCGCCACTTGACGTCCTGAGTCCTGGTTCTACCATTGAGAAACATCACATGAGGAGCCGGAGGAGGAGGAGGAGGAGGAGGAGGGGGAGTAAAGAGCCGGAGAGGACCAATAAGTATTAGTATTAGTTATGCAAGTAGAAGTAGTCGCTTCCTCCGCCTCCTCCTCCTACTCCGCCTGCTGCTGCTGCTGCTACCACCACTAGTTTCGCTGCCTTACTCCGAGCAGGCAGCTATCGTGGCAGTCAACGTCCCACTGCTCGAGGGAACAGCACTCATGCAGTCTGAAGAAAGAGTCTACAGTCTACAGTCTCTCCATGGTATCCGGAATCCTACTTTGCACATTGCTGCAAATCCAAAAGCTGCGCTCCCCCAACCCTCAACCCCATTCAATGCTTGCAGAGAGCCTCCTGTCTTGGCCACAATGGCACTCTCGAGATGCTTCTTAATGGCCTGCGCCATGGTCAACTGGTGTTTTTTCTCCCAAGTGTTAGTTGCAATTGAGCTCAATACCACACTAGCCCCTAAACCCTAAACCGCCTGGAAAGCAATGAAGGTCCGGGGGGCCGAACTCCGCCGTCCTCCTGTCTCCCTAGCTCAGAGGAATACGTGGCGATGCAGTCGACAGCGTTCTTATTGGTTTGCAGCTTTTAGGGCTGGGCGTTCGGGGGCTAGTTGTTGATAGTTTTTGGGCCCCCAGAGCGCCCTAAGCCCTGAACCCGAAACCCTGAAGTTGCCTGTGTCACCTCTGTGGTTGCTCTTCAAAGTGCTTGCAAGACCGCAGGGTACCTGAACTCTGAACCCAAATCCCTAAACCGGGGACACAACACCCTGGAACCCTCCACCCATACACCCAAGACCCTAAACTCCGAAAGCCGTATGGGTGGTATCGCTGTGGCTTGGCAAGGATGTTCTAACTGCAGTGCCGGCCCCCAGCCCGATGCTATACCGCCCACTCTGGACACGGTGGTTTCAAGGTAAAGGGGTTCAGGGCCCCAAAGCCCCAAAGTCGCGAGGGCCTTGAATTCCTGAAAACCCTCGTGCGATGCTAGAAGCCTGGTGGATGAGATCGGGGTCGTTGCCGCCCATCTCGATTTCAAACCTCTAGCTTTCGATTTCAGCCTGGTGTTATCTCGTTGCGGGTGCTTGTGCGTGTACAGGGCTTCAGCAAGTCTTCAATGCTGGTGGTGATTTCCAACAGGAAGATGAGGAGGGGGGCCAGGGGGGCAGGCAGGTGACCTGAAGCTGCGTAGCCAGCGCGGCTCAACTCTGCAAGCAAACCTGATCCTCAGAACCTCCAAGCTGTGTCATTTTTCTGACCACGATGGGATCGAAGGTCGTGACAAGAGACTTCTAGATGCTTCGATGCAAGATCCTTCAACTCATCTTCAGGCCTGTGCTCTTAGCTTTCGGCAAGAAAGGGGTAGTCTAGGGGTATTTGGGGGTGTTAGGTTTGAGATCTTTGCAGAACCCGTCAAAAGGCAGGCCGAGAGCGACGCGTGCTCTGCTCACCCTCCGCAGGCCTCGCTGTTTGTGTTAACTAAAACTGTCACTACATGCTTTGTTCATCGTTTTGTGCGAGCTGCTGGTCACATCAACCTTGGGACATTCACGGAATGTAGAATGGATATCTCTGGAGTTTGTACATTGTACATCGTCTTTATGGACTCGGTGTGTCTCCTCCCACTAATACTCGTGTTGTCAAGGCTACGACCGCGACTGCTACTGCTGCTGCTACGAGTCTTCAGGTTTTCTGCTTTTCTTCTTCTACGACTACGACTACGACTACGACGACGACGACTACTACTACCATTACTACTACCACTACTACCACTACTACTACTACCGCTGCTGCTGCTGCTGCTGCTGCTGCTGCTGCTGCGGCTGCTACTAGTACTACTACCACTACGACGGCGACGACGACGACTACTACGACGTCATCATCACATCCCGAGCAGCGCATGTGATGCAAGCGCGGCCACGTGATCCCCGGTTGCCTGCAGTATAGCCGAGACATTGAAATGGAACCTGGATGCCTAACTTCTACATCTAGGCTCAAGTCCGAATTCCCTCTCCGCACATCCTCAACTCCGGAACTCGAAAAATCTGACCTGGGGCCCCAGCGTGCCGTCTGCCCACCGGGTGTTCAAGCTGACTGGATCAATCTGGAAGTTGTCTACCTCAGATACTAAGTCTCGTAATTTGTCTACGTGCGTTTAGCGTTTAGAGACCCTGCAGCTATGCCTAAGCTCTTGTGAGGATCGGCATGGGCGTCATGACTTCGACTCGTACTGCTAGTGATGACGACAGGCAAGATACAAATAGCTTTGCCTCTAACCCTAGCGGCGAAACAGCAAAAACAAACATGTCATGAGGATTGCTGGACTCGGGCAACTCTGGGTTTCCCACCGTCAGATTCCCAGCGAAGCCTTCTGGATCCCGACCTTGTGTGCTTCCGGATTGACACGGGTGTTGAGGGTTGCAAGGGTAAATACATATGTTTGAATAAAGACACAAGTAAAGCGTTGTTGTTGGGTGTGTGTGTGTGCATGAAAAAAGAAATGAAACATACATAGTTACATACCGTATATCTATCTATCTATCTATCTATCTATCTATCTATATTATATATATATATGTATATACTTCTATACATATACCGAGAACGGGGTTCACATGTGCTACTATAGAGGGCTCAGAGCTTAGAGGATGTCGCAACGGCAGTAGAGACAACCACGAAGCGTGCGAAGCGCAGAATGACGCAAGGATTTTCGGCACGGATCTCCTTCAATGTGGAAGGCTGGATGGCTGCTCGGACAGGTTGGAGGGGAAGTGGGGCGAGAACCCTGAGGCTTAGGGCTTTGTGGGTTCTCTGCTCTTGTAGCGAAACAGGCCCAACCAGAAGTGCGGGGAATTGACGTGGAGCTGCCCTCTTAGGGCGCGGGTTTCCAGCAAACTCGTTGTCCTTCTTGTGGCACCTGCCCTCACACTAGGCCCGAGTCATAAGGATGCGACGAATTCATTAAAAGGATCCCATGGGGAGGCCGTCCGACAAGCACTCTGGGAACGCCTCCGGCGCTGGTGCATGAAAGGATGAATGTGTCTCTTTGAGACGTCTCACTCGTGCTCTCACTACTAGGCGATTTGGGTTATCGTTAAAACTTGCGGCAGACTTGAAGTTGAATCTCAAGCCTCTCGTGATTCAGAACATGGCAAGAACGATTTGACACTTAAATAACATCATTGGTTGACGAATGTCACTGATACAATGTATATCCGTATACATGCAAAGATGCATCGGGATCGTATGTAAGCACGTGTGTATGTATATATGTATGCGTTCGTTTTCATGTATGTAGGTAGGTAGGAAGGTAGGTATAGCATGTACGTCGTAGCACCATTATATATCCCACTACATCATGTTTTGCATAACAGCCATGAGCCAATGTCCAGGGGCTCTTCCAACTTCAACCGCAAGGCTGCCGATCAAGATGCTTGGACAGAGAGGTTGGGCTCCCCTTGTGACGCCGGCTCGCTTTCGATCCAGTCCTCAAGGGTCGCGGGTTTAGGTTCAGGGATTCGGGGCTTTAGGGTCCCTATTGGATAGGGGTCTCTTCGTGGGTGTAGAACCTTAGTCTGACAAAGGACCCACATCTCAAATTCACAACCGGAAACAAAAATCCGAAAGCGCAACACCCTACACCCTTAGAGCGCCCCAAATCCCAACGCCAAAAAAAAAACGTAAACCCACCCCAACAAACACCCACCCTAAAACCCTCAAGTCCAAAGCCCTATCCAGTAACCTCCGCCATCTGATCAAGCTCGGTTTGGGCATTGGCCTGGCAGCGGCGCACATACCTTGGGGATGGCTGACCGGGTTTTATAAGGGTTTTACAGGGTGCTAGCGGGGCTTGTTCGGGATGTTATGACGAGCTTCCACAAAAACTCGGCTTTGCCCGGTGTAAGCTTGAGGCTTAAGGGGCTCAGGGTTTACGGTGTCAAGCCCCAGCTTTAGCTCAACTGCATGCCAACAATCCAAGTCCAGTGCTTTCCTCGGGCAAGAGGAATGCCGGGTTCAACGGAAATCATCGCAAGTAGTAACAATGGCAACGCAACTGACACAAGACATGCGAATGTATCACACCACCAGAACCAGCTATAACGACACGACTATTAAGAACAGAAGTGATAGCAGGAGCGACACTTCAACTAAGCAGTCTCAAAAAGCAAAAAGACCAGGAAATACTTGCCATAGTAGTATATTAATTAACATATATTCACATGTAACCATTTTAATACTTGTAGGGAAGTTTCCATGGAACCAATCGTTGAGTTCCAAGAGACTGCCTTCTGCATGGGACGACCAAACCGGTTGAATGTGAACCTAGACCTCAAGACAAGACATGTCAGCCGGCCGCAAGTTGCGACTATCTGAAGCTATCCACTTCTGCATCGGGTAAGCATGGAAGGAGACGGATCTTTGCGCCAAGTGGCTCTATGCAGGCATCTGCATCGAGGATCTTGCTGCAGCGTGAGTCCAGGGTCTGGCACAGCTCCTTCTCTGCTTGCTGCGTCTGTGCAGTCTTCTCCCACATCTGGAGCATCGCGAGTGGCTCGGTGTCGCAGCGGTGGTCGCCGACCGCTGTGGCCGTCCAGGCAGCAAGGAGAATGGCGGATATCATGGGGTTACGATTGCCCCGCCCTGGCTAACTACTGGGCCCACTAGGCACTGCTTGATACATGATCGCCAAGGTAACAGCAGCAGGAATGTACCCATGCCAGACTGAAGGAACATGCTGCCAAATATTCAAGAGGCCCAAATAAGTCCACTGTGGGAACAGAGCACTAGAGAGGCAACAAAAGAATGGCTTGGGTTGTAAGATGCTTCGCGGCTTTCCGAGGTATTGGAGATCTCAGACACCGTCGCTGCTCCCTCTTCTGATGGGAACTGCCTTGCAGATGATGCGCGTGTCCAGTCAGAGTGAACCACATATCAAATATCGCATGTGAGATATTCTGTGTGTACTGTAGCATCGACATACCCAGCACCAACACAGACCTAACTGCTGTGCATGCGACTGTCATGCATTTTCTGCTAGAGCTAGACGGCTGTTCACTGAATATAGGGTAGTGGACTCTCCAGGTTCGTTTATCATCTGGATAGTCCTCCCCAGCATGGACCCATCTAGGATCCTGATTCTTAGACTGCGTCGGACGTCTCTGGGGGACCAAAAAGGGAACCGTGACTTAAGGAGCCGAAGGCAGCCAGGTGCCATGCAAAGCATGGAGAGCTGCAAGCCCACATGGTATGGCCTGTGGCCTCGGCTGTGCATTCTAATTTTTTTTCAATCATGGAGATATCTCAACTTAATGGGGGACCCCACAAGGCCCCAAGAAGCAGGATTAGAAAACAGTGAAGACCCCGAACATGCCAGCGCCAAAGCGGCCTGAATGCCTAGACTATGGGGTTTGGGGTATGTTACACCAAAAACAATAGGGGCTACAATTATTCACACCCCTGTGTGTCGGACATCCGACAAAGAGTTTCCAGCTGCAGGCTCGCATGTAGAAATTGCTGGGGATGTCTGGGTGAAGCATCCGCATTTCAAAGTTCCTGCGTTTTGGAGCCTTGTTAAGTGTAGATAAGACTGATTAGATGGCAACTATTGAGGGTAGAGGGAATGCTGGCTTGGGGATGCGATAAGAAAGTGCACAAATCTTGCCCAAGTTATGCGAACGGAAGCTTCATTGAATATCCCACGTGTGCACAGCATCAGACACAGCTACCTGGAATTAGACGAGTTTGGCCCGCTGGTCTATGATTACAAAACCTGCCGAGTGCCACACAGCAAATGTAGCCATCAACCAAATCCTCGTTGCCCTGTGGATCTGGGTTTTTCTGCAGGCCCCAGTAGTTCATGGGGTGGTCTAGGCAGGTGTCTGTGTGTGTGCACGCGTAAAGACAGTAAATAAGGTGAAGCAAATGTGTCCGCATGTATGTATGATTGCATGAGTTTATGTAGGCAGGTATGTGTGTAAGTAATTGTGTATGTGTGTGCGTGCTGTGTATGCCGATGCAATCCACGAGTACATCTTCCCGGGCATGCTGTTTGTGGGTGATGTGCATGCTCGTACTGTGATGTGTACGTACGTCTGCACACACACACACACAAGTGTCGCCCTTCCCGCTGCTAACGAGAAGTGAAGTCTCATCAGAAGCATGTTGTCACGACTCGCCTTGCTACTGACAGCTGTGATCCCAAAACAAACCAGCAGTTCAACTGTTTGACTCCCCGTCATGGCCGTGGAGAGTGGAGTTGACAAAAAGGTTGAAAGCTGAGACTTCCGTGCTCCAGGGGCACGAAAGATCTTAGCCCCGACTCAGCCGCCAGATGTGAATGTCTGGTTAGGGAGCTTTGTCACTTTGTAATCGTTCTACAGACAGCAACAACAGACTGACGGGCCTTCGTGGCCTCCGCCCAGATCTTCAGGTCTGAGAACTCGCCCTTGATCTTGATGGCCCAGCCTGACATCCATTCCTGTTGAAGGACCTCCGACGTTCTGTATGCAACTGTGGGGGTGACGTTGCTTTGGGAGTGGGATCGGACTGCTACGTCGCTTCAATAGTCCGAAGACCAGAAGAAGAAGTGGTAGTAGAGTAGCAGTAGGAGGAGCAGCAGCAGCGGGAGTATTAGGAGGAGTAGCAGTAGCAGCAGTAGCAGCAGCAGCAACAGTAGCAGTAGCAGTAGCAGTAGCAGTAGCAGTAGCAGCAGGTGCAGTAGCAGCAGCAGCAGCAGCAGCAGCAGCAGGAGGCGCAGGAGCAGGAGCAGGAGCAGCCAGTAGCAATAGCAGTAGCAGTAGCAGTAGATGTGGTAGTAGTAGCAGCAGCAGCAGAAGCAGCAGTAGTAGTAGCAGTAGCAGTAGCGTAGCAGTAGCAGTAGCTGTAGCAGTTGCTGTTGCTGCTGCTGCTGTTGCTGTTGCTGTTGCTGTTGTACCTGCTGTAGTTGTTGTAGTTGTAGTTGTGGTTGTAGCTGTAGCTGTGGTGGTAGTGGTAGTAGTAGTAGTAGTAGTAGTGGTGGTGGTAGTCGTAGTAGTAGTTGTTGTAGCTGTAGCTGTAGCTGTAGCTGTAGTTGTAGTTGTAGTTGTAGTTGTAGTTGTAGTTGTAGTTGCAGTAGTAGTAGTAGTAGTAGTTGTTGTTGTTGTTGTTGATGTTTAGCAGTTAAAATGTACAGCGGGAAGGTTTGTCGTCGAGTTCCGAAGTACAATGCATGTAACAGCAGCAGTGTTAGTAAGCATTCACAATGAGGATGGTCGAACGGTCGTATGGGTCAGAAAACGACCGTCAGGAGCAGCAATACAAATACCATCACAATCGTCACAGCCTCACTCATATCTACCACAACAAGGTGTAGACGAGCCAACCAACACAGGACCCTGGAATACCGGCATCCCACACCCGGAAGACTAGCCGCCCCGTCGGCTCCCGGCGTTGACCGTTGTCGAAGGAAGCTGAGAAAGGTCCTTCATATAGACATAAGCAAAAAAAATATATATAACCATTAGAGTATAGATAATACAGACTGTGATGTTCTAGAGATTACAGGAGTTAGTTGTTCAGGCCCTATTGACAGAAACGGCCACGTGCTTTGGTTTCAAGGAACACTAAATGACCGCCGCCGTGGGGTTCCACAGTTTGCTCGAAACTCCGAGCCGAAACGTTCCTGGCCCGCAGATGCTTCTGGTCTTGGGTCAGCATCAGCAACTGCATGGATGAGTAGTGATGTTCATGGGGGGCAGCAGTATCCATCGTATCCACATGAATCTGCAAGGCTGCGAACCATGGATGCGTCCGGAATCAGTCAGTCACGAGCTTAACACAGCACCCCATGAGGACGAAACCCGAAAATCTGAGCCCTAAAGCTTCGCACCAAAACGCCAAGCAGTAGCGGGTAGTTCTCTAACTGGGTCCTGTGCGGTGTCCGTCTTGTGCATGACGTAAATTTGCGAGGCCTAAACCCCACACCCCGAAGACTTGAAGCCGTAGATTCCTGCATCCTCCAGCGCGAGCCTGTTTTCTGGTAGAACCTGTAGGGGCGGGTGGCGCAGGCTGTTGTTGAGCTTGCTTAAAGGCTTCTTTTAGGGGGGGTTGGGGTTTCCAACAGCAGTGCCACTGTCCCTGGCACTGCCAGTACCACTGCTGCCACTGCACTGCTGCTGCGACTTCTGCACTGCTACTGCAACGGCTACGGCTACCGCCGCCGCCCCCGCTGTCGTTACCACTACAGCTACCAGTGCTAATACGACAACGTCCGCAAAACCACAACGACGAGGAGTAACATTGTGTTCGTACCATTTCCTTCCCATGTTCCCTTCTCTGCGCATTGCTCACACTACATGCTAGCACCTACCAGTAGGCGTGTTGCTGTGACTTTTGAGTTGCGAACTAATGAGAGAAATCGATTCCGGATCCAAAGCCATGCAGGGCTGCAGAATCTACGTGCTTGGGTCTATGGTTTTCGAATTGAGGATTAACATGGATTAACACTGTTGGGTGTGAGAGTGTCCAGGCTTGGGGAGTACGATGAGAGTACGCCCACTCATAAGGCTCAGCATCATGCATGCACCTCGAAACCGCTAAAACCCGAATAGACCCCATAAGCTCGCTGGAGCTCCTGACGCCTGTAATAACTGCCATAGCCCCACACCGCTGAACCCGAGCCCCATCCTGGCTGTAAACATGTATTTCCTTGTTACAGCCACCTCAAGCCCGTAATGCTGGCGCCTGCACTCATCATGCAGCCCAATTCCTTCATCCTAAACCCTAAACCTAAACCCGAATCTCCAAAGCACCCTGCAAAAAGCAAACCCCGCGAAGCCCCGTAGACCTGGAGTTCCATGATCCGCAGACTTGAGATGCCATCCTCGATCATGAGAGGCGCGATTTTGTGTGTTACCGATTAGGCTTTGGGTAACGGCTGTTAGTAGTCTTGTGTTGGTTTGGTTCGGGTCAATGCTTCTAATGGGATCTGTCCATTTTAGGTGAGTTGGGGCATGGCGTCGGCGAGCTTCAGGTGAAGATCACCGTCTCCAATGTTGGTGCAGGGGTAGTGGCTTTAGTAGGGTGTGTCAGGCCCGAACTCTGCAGGAAATCGAGCTCCTGATCAACTTCTCTGCTGCTTCGACGTAGTCTGAGCTTGCTTCCGGAACAAGGCGCGCGCTTCCGAGGTGATTTGGAGTTCGCTTGTGAGGGCAGGTCCTGGAGCAAGCCCAGAACTCCAAATCCGAAACACGGAACCGCCCCCCACTACTGCGTGCGGGCGTCAATGAAGACGACGCGTGCCGACAGGTCTTCGAAGGGAACCTGGGTCCAAACCCTTTCTGAGCTTGCAGAGTTGGTTCAAGCCTTTGGTTGCCCAAAGAAGCCTCAGCTGGGGAATTTTACATCCAAAGCTATCCTTCCGGCATCGGAACCGATAAGAAAAGCACCACTCCAACCCAGTGGCTCATTCTTGCAAGACAGTCTTGATCCCCCACAGCACCAGGGCTTTGGCATGAAGGGGAACCATGGGCACTGGCTTGCAATAGTCCTGCCAGCGCCACGCTGGTATACCAAGTCTGGAACCCCTAAGACCTGAAAACAAATTGGTGCAGGACGTTAATGAGAATGGTGAGAAGGCCCAAC